TATTATATATATTATATATATATATATATATATATATATATTAAATTATATATATATACATATATATATGATACTACTATACTAATAATTGTGATTATACTAACACGAACAGTGATTTTGTATATAGGCATATAATTCTTACTGCTTTCTTTTCGTTTTTGTACAGTGAAAACCCGTAGTTGCTCTACAAAGGCACTTTGTGACTTACTATCTGCGAAATGTGATTCAAAAACAACGGACAATTGCAGTACGTGCTGTGATAGTGATAACTGCAATTCGGCTGGCATCGCAGGCTTCAGTGGTATCACCATCTTCACTGTATTGCTCCTCAGTCTCTACCTAATGATGGAGTAGAAGTACTTAGTTGAACTATGACACGGAATCCTATCTGAGTAGTAATATTATAGGTCTTTAGAATGTAAACATTAATCAGCTTAACCCATTAATCAGCTTAACCCAAATAATCATTGCTTGCAAAAATATATGCCTGTTAAACCAATAAAATTTAGACATACAAAAGATGTTAAGATTGTTACATTAAGATAACAGAATCACAAAAGTTTGAAAAGTACAAGAAAAGAAGAATGGAAGAAAAAATGCGATAAAAATATATACAAACTGGAGCCCTAAAAGAGGGCCCTCGGAACGTTTTTTCAAAATGGTGGGGCATAGATGAATAAGAATATGAATTGTGAGGGAGCCGATCATGCAAAAATCTGCATAGACATTTTCTGCCAAAAAGTGGGGATGGGGGGCATGTATAATAATAAATACGTTAAGAATTGTTAAACGTATGTTAGAAGACTTTTGGCACCTATCAAACATTGTCTCAAACTTTTTAAATAATTACTTCTGTTAGTGTCTGTCCCCACCCTGAAATACATGTAATAGTTGTGTATACAGTGCTACCACACTGACGAGCAGTGTAAAACATTACGCTATTTACAGTATTCACTTTTTGAATAAACACATTTTACAAAGGCAGTACTTCACTGAAATTAGTTTCTTTGAACCATAGTATGATCATACCATGTGAGCCACTTGTTGAAAATAACTTCAATGATATTTATAGTTATGTTTAATCTGTTCTTCATAATTTTCTGATGATTGTATTTAGATTGGAAAATAAAACCTGCATCAGGAGAAAAATTGATATGTTGTACAATTGCTTTTTCTAAAACATAAAAGGGTGTTATTAGACGAAAATCTCGGAAGCGGTTAATGAGATACAGATTTATTATTTATTAATATTGATTTTTTTAAATATATTGCTTCACTGCTTTTAAACGTGTGCGGTGAATTTTGAAAGTGTGCAATTGCTTTTTAAAGTGTGCCGTGTGGTTTCGAACGTTCTTGCCGTGACACTTTTGAATGTAGGTAAGAATGGCCCCGGAAAAAATGGCCCCAGAAAAAATGGCCCTGGAAAAAATGGCCCCGGTAAAAATGGCCCCATATGACAGGTATGTAAAAATGGCCAAAATGAAAAATTCGGTAATAGAAATGATATATTTTTTTTTAAATCTTCAAATATTTAAATACTGTATAAGCAAGAATTGAATGAAGAAATAAAAAATGGCCCTCAATTATAAAATTCAAGAAAAAAAAATATTAATAATAAATAAATAAATAAATAAATGCTGTAAAATACCCTGTAGCAAAATTTAATTAATAAATCAACATAAAGAATATGCATATTTGAGAACTAAAATAAATTAGTTTTTAGCTTTCATGAGTAGCTCTGGGAGTAGGTCCATGGGAATGTAGGTAAGAATGGCCCTGGAAAAAATGGCCCCAGAAAAAATGGCCCCGGTAAAAATGGCCCCATAAGACAGGTAGGTAAAAATGGCCCCAATGAAAAATTCGGTAATAGAAATGATATATTTTTTTAAAATCTTCAAATATTTAAATACTGTATAAGCAAGAATTGAATCAAGAAATAAAAAATGGCCTCAGTTATAAAATTCAAGAAAAAAAAATGAATAATAATAAATGCTGTAAAATACCCTGTAGTGAAAATTTAATTAATAAATCAACATTAAGAATATACATATTTGAGAACTAAAATAAATTAGTTTTTAGCTCCTATGAATAGCTCTGTGAGTAGGTCTAAGTATTTTTTAAAATTATTAATATTATTAGATATTATTACAACATTTGCGGTCAATTATTAATATTATTATTAATGGCTCTGATGGGAGGCTCTAAAACATTGATTCGGCACCAGTTTTGAACGACGAACTTGCAGGGAATGTTATAAAAATAAAATTTTCCAATAACGTGGCGACTACCAACTATGGGGACTTTCAGAGGCCTAGCATTTCGCAGTACGTATTACTGTCATGGATAACATCAACAATAAATCTAAATTGCTAATGAGCACAAACATTTTAAAACGGAAAAAAACACGAAATGTTTATATTGAAAACAAGTCCTAGTATTAAATATCTATTTTTTTTAAGAATTGGAACCTCTGGATGGCCAGAAATGACACTCTCAAGAGTATGACAGGCATGTCACATTTTTATTTTTTTATCCCGACGACCTGTCAAATTGGGGGGGGGGGGGTCCTGATGTGGTTTGGGATGTATGTAATTTTGTAATCTAATACACTGTGATTGTGTAAGTGACAACTAAGTATAATTCAATTGGTCAATTTTTTTTTTAAAAAGATTTTTTATTGGTTGAGAATCTATGCTGTAGCCAATAAATAAAAGCCTTTTGTTTTGAAATGCCATATAAACAACATGTCTAAAAGTCCAGGTGTTATTTATCTCTTGTTTATTTGGGAATAATCATCTATTTTATGGAATAAATACAGAGTTCCTTCATTATATTGAAGTTTTGGTTTGTTTATTTAGTTATGTAATCAGAAACTACAGTTACACCTTATTTTACGGGAACCTTAATTTGTTTATTTGTTATTTCATTTGTTTTATGAAATGACAATAATAATAATAATAATAATAATAATAA